GTAGTAGGTGTAGCTCACAAAATCTGATACCTTTTAATAAAATGTGCTATCAGATGCCTCCTGATTTTTTGACAACTGCATGCTAACACAGCTCTTCTCTTGCAAGGTTCCTTTAAGGAGGCAATTAATTTCCCACTAAATTTGCAGGTAAACTGTCCCTACTTAGATTCATATTTGTTTCTGGGAAAAATGGGTATACAGGCAGGCCTTTGAATTAAAAGCACAGTTGTCCTGTTACCTTCTTGTAATAGAAAATGAAAGAAGGGTGAGCTTTAAATGACTGGATTTTGGGAGTTGAAGTCCACCTGTCTTCAAGTTGGCAAGGCTGGAAAACACTTTTGAGAGAGCTTAGGTAAGGTAAGACCTTAAGAAAGGTAAGACCTGATCCACTGGCTCATACTTCCTAAAGCTGTGGCTTACTTGGGCAGAATTAAATGGATTGTATACATTGTTTCCCACTTTTGACAGGACATTGCTATCAAGAAAACTAGTTTTTAAAATACATCACAACCAAGTTACCTCTCAGGTACCTCTCAGGTGGTCTTGATAATAGGGGAAAAATATACCAAATTATTCACTCTAAGCATCAACAAATCTCCTATTTAATCAAAGCCTAAATAAGGTGGGTGAAATGGCTTTTGTAAAAAATAAATTATGAATTAAATGTTAATTTAATGTTTTATTTAATGCCTAGGGAGAGTCTCAGTCATCCAGATCATGTTTATCTGAAAGGTCCTTTTTCCAAAAGGCAACTGGACCTTCTTGTTGTTGTTTTTGAAAATGTTCCGCTTCTTCAGTTTTCTGAAGAATTGAAGAGGCATCTTGGATGAGAAGCACAAATGTTTAAAACAAAAAGAAAACCTCCAAGAAAGTCCAGTTTCCTTTTGGAAAAAGTCCCTTTACGATATTTTTATTTAAACTTGATTTGAATAAAAGAGTCATTGTTAGGTGAAAAAAAAACCCCAAATAATCAGAATAATATTAACCCAACAATATTTCAATTATACTGTTACTGAATAGTAATCTACAGGGGGAAAAAAAACAAAAACTAAGTGAAGAATATAGAAGGTTGTAATAAGGAGCAGAAAAGAAGAAAGACAATCAAAAGTTGTTCATGTCCAAATAACAAGAGAATTGACAAAATTCATTGACAAAATAACATAATAAATATAAAGTCTCCAGAGGTGACAAAACTGTGATTCTGGCTCCTGAAGATTCATTATCCTAATTTTACCAATAAATATTTTTAATCAAGTGGTTGAAAAAACTCTATTATGAATAGAATAGAATAGAATTCTTTTATTGGCCAAGTGTGATTGGACACACAAGGAATTTGTCTTGGTGCAAATGCTCTCAGTATACGTAAAAGAAAAGATACATTCATCAAGAGTCAAGATTAATATTAATGAATTATAAATAGAGTTTCCCAACACTGAGACACAATTAGCAAGAAAGCCATTGCATTCCTATTTTTCAGTGTAGCATCAGATCGTATCCCTCAAGGTCACAGTCCCAGCTTACAAGAGCATTCAACCATTTGTTTCGTAATAATACTAATTTTACTAAAAAAAAACCAACAACTTAAAAATGGATGTTATTTTATCACATGACCATAACCTAGGGTAAAATGATCCCTTATCTCTACAGCCCCTCCAACACCTTGAAGAATTATTGTATGATATAGATGTTAATCTAACTAGGGTTAGATGTCACTGGTATAACCCTATGCATTCATTTCTTGGTTAGAGATAGAAGGGACATCTTCAGATTGCCATAGTGCAACATTTCCAAACTTGGCAACTTAAAAACTGGACTTCAACTCCCAGAATCCCCCAGCCCAGCATGCTAGAGTTAGAGAGAAAAGAGGTGTCATCTGTCAAAATTGGATTCCTTTTTTCCAAATGTAAGGTGTGGTTCTGTAAAGACATTATTAGTTTTGCTTGTTGTTTTTTAAAAAAATATTGACCTGAAAGGATATATATATATTTTTTTAAATTATTGGGGTCTAATATAATCTCTCTAAAAGTCCACAAACTATGGAGTTTTAAATAAACAATGAAATAATCAACAATTAATCTCTATAACAAATTTCTCCTTCTACTGTAACTCTTATAATAATCAACTTGTCAAAAGCTTTGTTTTCTGAAAGTTGCCTGGTCTTAATGGATGTATTTCTGGAACATCAATGGAATCATTCCTAAGAAACATATTTCAGTTCCAGCCAGCCAATTTAAGCATCTCATTTTAACCTGATAAAAATAAAGAGTTTTGCTTCACGCAATAACTTTTAAAACTTTATAAAAAATGTCCTGATAATCTTTTACTGTAACTTCTATGGATACCAGTTGAAAAAAATAGCAACTATCATGTTTCTTCTCTAACCTGATGACTCTCAGATGTGTTCAACTACAAGTATTTTTATTACTTGTTGTTAGACAATGGCAGATAGTTACATAGGGAAGTTACCATGGGAAACCTGTGATCCTGGAATATTTTGAGATCTACTGGGGAAATTAAACCCTGCACGAATTTTACAACAAAACAAATACGTTGCATGACTTAGTTGTAAGAATGAGGCAATGCTACAAATCTTGCTTGATCTATTTTGTAAATCACCCTGCGTTAACAGCGATTTAAAAGTAGTAATAGGGAACTGCTATGAAATCAGTGGTTTAAAAACTGTTTTTGAATGCTAATCTAAAATATTGATTAAAGTTGCCTAGATTTCAATTAATACAACCTGCCAAATAATAATTGAAGTGTTTACTGAATGTAGATGCAATAGCTTAATATTTTGTGTGTGTGTGTGTTAATTTCACTAGACTTAACTCCTCAGATAAGTGTTTGTATGCCTGTATTTTAGGGCTGATACATATACTAACTGTTTTTTTCAAGAGCGTAGGAGATACTAGTAATAATGGAATATATTATAATTTTATTCTGTGTCTAAAAGTTAAAACAATGAAGCAGTTGAATGGCTTGCCTTCAGAAGTTGTGGGTGTTCCACATCTTTAATAAGAGATTGGATAGCCATTTCTGAAAGAATATGCGGCTTCCTGAGGTTGGATTAGAAGACCTCCAAAGTCCCTTCCAACTCTATTATTCTGTTACATAAAACAGAGTGGCTGTTTTCTTTTTTTCTTTTTCTTTTTCTTTTCTTTTCTTTTCTTCTTTTCTTTTCTTTTCTTTTCTTTTCTTTTCTTAGTATAATGTCAACCCAGTTTTTCATTCCAAAGTCATCCCAAAGGAAAGCACTTACAATGCCATGCAAAACGACAAACATTTAGAACCATATAAAGGATATGTGTCAAAGAATGCCAGAGCAGTGAGAGAAACATGGTCAGTACACAACACATTTTTTTTTGTTAATGTCAAAAGCTGACTAGACTTTTCAGCCACCGTAAAATAATTCGTTTCGTGAGATGATCTTATGTGTGTGCTGCATTCAAAGGGTTCACTCTGAGAAAAGGTTGTCCTTAAAATTAGTAATAGACAATACAATTTCATTCCTGCCCCGGTTTATTTTTACTCATTTTTAAATAATTCCACCCAGAGTTGTGGGTAGTCGGGGAATATATTAATTTAATAACTTTTTGTTATGTCTGTCCTGATTCTGGTCATGAGAAGATTTAAATGCATTTAATCATTTTTTAAAAATGTTTATCTAAATGATGTTTCAAAAAAAGGAAAAGAGAAGGAAAGACATTTCAAAATGTACATTTTCTCAATATCTGCATAAGTAAACATAATTAGTTTTTTTTTTGCAACTGAGTGGTATAGAAATTGCAGTAATAAATAATGCATCAAATAAATACATGAAAACATATCCTATGAAAACATATCCAGAATAATGGTGGAAAATGTAAATTATCTGCTAAACAAATAATTCCCTCAACACTGTTCAACCATTTACTAAGTCTGCATTACTATTACTTTTAATCTTCTCATCACTCTTTATCGCCCATCCCCTCCCATTTGTGATTGTATGACTGTAACTTTGTCGCTTGTATCCTTACGATTTATATTGACCGTTTCCTAGCATGATTTGATTGCTTATCCCTATGACTATCATTAAGTGTTTGTACCTTATGATTCTTGACTCTTGATGGTTGTATCTTTTCTTTTATGTATACTGAGAGTATTTGCACCAAGACAAATTCCTTGTGTGTCCAATCACACTTGGCCAATAAAGAATTCTATTCTATTCTATTCTATTCTGTTCTGTTCTATTCAAAGTTTTCCAAATCAAGTTCTTCAATCTTTACATCACCCCAATAACAATCTAATGCAACCTTATTTTCTCTTGTTGACTTGCTTCTGTGGCTATGTGAACAGGAACCTCTGCAAATTATAATGCCAATATATCCGGATGTTGGGAAGGCCACGGTTTAGAACTGCAGCCTTAAGTATGTTTATTCTTTTTTGCGAACAACCATTTGACTGGGATGGTATAAGTCTCCTGCCTTGAGCAGGGAATTGGACTAGAAGGCCTTAAAGGTTCCTCCCAGTCCTGTGGTTCAGTGATTCTATAGGATTGCAACTTGGGGCTCACCCAAGAGAACTAACTGTGCCCTCCACCCACATCACACCTACCCAGCTCATGTTAAATAATATTTAGCCCTGGCTCCAAAATGCCCCTTGAATGGTTACAAGCAGTGGTGGGATTCAAAAATTTTTTAATACCGGTTCTGTGGGAATGGCTTGGTGGGTGTGGCAGGGGAAGGATGCAGCAAAATCCCCATTCCCTCCCCACCCCACTAACCTGCTTTCCAGCTCCTTTCTCCTGTGCAGGGCAACCAAAGAAGACCCAGCCAATCAGCTGGGACTCAATGGGAGGCAGAGAATAGATGGGGTTGGTGGGGCCAGTCAAAGGTGGTATTTGCTGGTTCTCCGAACTACTCAAATTTTCTGCTACCGGTTCTCCAGAACTGCTGAGAATCTGCTGTTTAATAGAGAGTTTTAATTACTGCATAATTCTAAATGCCACCTTTGATTCCTTCTAGGTGGTTTCCCTTGGAGACGTTCCTGATGGGACAGTGGTAACGGTCATGGCTGGTAATGATGAAAACTATTCGGCCGAGCTTCGGAATGCTTCAGCTGTAATGAAGAATCAGGTGGCCAGGTTCAACGATCTTCGCTTTGTCGGACGGAGTGGCCGAGGTAAGGACTTTAAAGGAGCTTAAGCTGATGGAGTGCAGGTTTTCTAATCGCTAACCTCTTTCGCCAGCATTCCCATTCTTCTGGGGCATATTTAAAGCCAGAATGAAGGCATTTCTAACTTGGTGGGAACTGATGTGTTGCAGAAGTTCAAGTATTCCACCTCTGTGTGTGTGTGTGCACGTGCGTGCATGCACATCCGCATGTTCTCTATTAATAAAAGAGAATGTTCTGTTACAATAGGGAATATGTTCTCTATTTATTGTAAAATTGAGAAACAGCTAGTCCTTGAACAAAACTCAGCCCAAAATTCCTGTTGCTAAAGCAAGACAGTGGTCAAGTGAGTTTTATCCAATTTTACAATCTTTCTTGCCACAGTTGTTAAGTGAATCACTGCAGTAGTCAGGTTAGTAATGTGATTGTTAAGTGAATCTGGCTTCCCCATTGACTTTGCTTGTCAGAAGGTTGCAAAAGATGATTTACATGACCCTGCAACTGTCATAAATACATGCCAGTTGCCAAGCATCTGAATTGTGATCATGTGACCATGGAGATGCTACAGTGGTCGTAAGTGAAAAATGGTCATAAGTCACTTTTTTCAGTGCTGCTGTAACTTCAAGCGGTCACTAAATAGCATTAAGTCGAGGACTACCTGGGTAAGGTTTTTGAAGTGTGCTCTGGATTAAACGTTTGTGCATATGAAGTTCTGGAAGGAAACATCAGTAGCTATGCTGGCTGCAGAATTCTGGGAGTTGAAGTCCACAAGTCTTAAAGTTGCCAAGTTTGGGGACCCCTGGTATAAACAATAGTCCCACGGTTGTATGTCTCCCCCTCAATCCTTTGTGGATGATTTTAAATCTTCTCCAAATATTTCTGCTGAATTGTAACATTTAATGCTTAATTATGAACTCACAGGGAGTAATTGCTTTCATTGTGTTTAATTGCTTTCATTTTGATTAACGCTTAATTATGTTTCATCTTAGCTTGGCCCTATCTCTTTCATTTTCTGGCTTCTGTTTGCTGTTGGCTTTATGGCCCTTGTCCCAAGGCTTAGAGGCTAAATCAGTGTTTCGCAAACTTGGCAACTTTAAGATGTATGGACTTCAGTTCTCAGAATTCTCCAGGCAGCCATCCTGGCTGGGGGAATTCTGAGAGTTGAAATCCACACACATCTTAAAGTTGCTCAGTTGGAGAAACACTAGACTAAGTATTGCCCTGAGCTAAACTTGTCATTTTCTATCAAGGCTATCCCAGTTCATAGTGCGGTGTGCACATGGAAGGTGTGTTGGGGTTTAGACCATCAATATCCCCAGCCTTTTTCATCACATTTTGGATAAAGGTGGGGTCCTTCCACCACACCTTGGTAGTTTACTGATGTTATTGCCTAGTTTGGTAATGAAATTTCTCCAAGAAAACTATCAAGCTCAGAGAACACCAGGGACTCTACAATTCAATCTTGTACAATTCAAATATACTCTTCTTTGGATAAATGATTGAAAATGAAAGGAATTCTTGTCCAAGCATAATTCTTACATAGTTTCTTTTAGCTAGGTTTACTGTGATGAAAAGTTTATATGTATTCCAGCAGCAGATCTCCTCCCTATTCAGAAACAATTTATACCATACAACATTGTCAGAGTAATTCATTCATTATTGTAAGGAGGAGATTTTACATTGTGACCATATGATCCAGCAAAGGTTTCATCCTGGGGAAGTTGCAGCTGACTGAAGCTGCAGGAAGCCTCCTGAATCTTTAGCAATCTAAACCAATGGTTATTATGTCTCTGTGCATTCATGGGAAACAGCCTTAAACCCGTTCGAGCAAAGAATGAGGTATGGTCAAAAAATAATGATCATAGCCACATTGGTGTGATTGAAATTCACCTGATGGTCTCTGAGCTTGGTGGTTTTCATTACCAAATTAGGTAACATCATCAGTGCAATGTGATTGTGCATTGATCGATGCACAACTAGGGAACTGATGATGTTACTTAGTTTGGTAATGAAACGTCTGCAAGAAAACCCCCAAGCTCAGAGACCACCAAGGACGCCACAGTTCAATCCTGTGCTACAAATATTCTCTTCCGATGAAACTCACCTATTGTGTTTGTGTATGTGTGTTTTACAATTGAACATGGAGCTTCAATTGCGCTTTTGCAGCTATCATCTTGCCTTTTGGTAGCCAAACACAGCCACACACCCCACAAGGTCAACCCTGACACGTGGACCCTTTAGAATGATCAGTGAATAAAACAGCAATCATTTGATCAAAATGGTCTCAGGGTGACTTTAATTCAGTCTTCTTTGCAACTCAAGCACTGTCTTTAGCAGGCATTCTTTCTGCAAAAGGTGGCAGGAGCTCCAAGACTTACCGTGGCCTGATGGCCTTCCCCCTCCCCGCCTTCCCCCAAATGTCAAATCCCTCAACCAGGAATCGTGAAAAAATATTTCTGGGGCTTTTCGGCAAATGATCTTAGAAATGTTTTGCATGTAATAACTGTTTACTTGTTGCGCTCTGTGAAACCCAGCTAGTTTACATTCTTTTCTGCATTTCCGTTTTCCTGCTGGATCTTTTCCCCAAATGGCAGGCAGTCTTTTTTCTTTCAAACTGCTCCTCCTCCCCACCCCCCAGCACATTTAACTGCTTGCAGGTTGATGAATGGAAAATGTTTCGATTTTATGAATTACGCTTTCATTTCTGTACTCAATTATTTGCTTAAGTCTCCTCCTCCCCCTCCCCCCCTTCTTCTTTTTTCCATCCACTTTACACAGAGTTCCAAACGTGAACTTAGCTCAGTCCAAACTTGACTCTTGAATTCATTAGGAGCCCCCACTTGGGTCTCCATGTCTGGACTGGGAAATTACAGTAGTCTTGACTCCTTTGATTTCAATTCTTCTCTCTTCGACTCGCACCAAGCTTAGAAAAGTGGTGGCGAGGTGGGGTCTTTGTCTACTGTTGCAGACAAGCTTTTGATCAAACGTCTATCAAGCTCATTAAAATATTTTCATACATAGGACAGGGTTTTGTTTTGTTTTAGCAGAATTGGTAATGATTGAGGTTTTTTCCCCCCTTCTGGATGGAATATTTTGGATTGGAAATGGGACTGCATGAGCTGCATATATGAATGTATCCATCCTTTTGCTTAATAAACTCCTTCCATGCTGAAGTCAGATTCTGGGTTGAGATTTGAAACCCTTTCTTCTTCTAATTATGATCTTTTTATCCTGGAACTCACCCCTGCTGGGAACTATGGCAGTGGGTGAAACCCAACCCTAGCAAGATATTAATGCGGGTAATCCTCAACTTACCACCATTCATTTAGCAATAGCAATAGCACTTAAAACTTATATACTGCTTCATAGTGCTTTACAACACTTTGAGCGATTTATAAATATTGCCCCCAACAATCTGGGTCCTCATTTTAACCAACTGTGGAAGGATGAAAGGCTGCGTCAACCTTGAGCCGGTCAGGATCAAACTCCAGGTTGTAGGCAGAGTTTGTCTGCAATACTGCATTCTAACCACTGTACCACCATGGCTCCTAGAAGATACAATGGTAATAAAAATGTGACTTATGACCAGTCTTCACACTTGCAGCATCTCTATAGTCACATGACCAAAATATGTGCATTTGGCAACTGGCATATATTTACCATGGTTTCAGCATCCCAGAGTCATGTGATCATTGTTTGTGATTTTCCCAGCCAGCTTCCAACAAACAAAGTCAATGGGGGAAGCTGGATTCACTTAACGACTCCACGATTCTCTTAATAATTGAAATGATTCACTTAACAACCATGACAAACGGTAGTAAAATCGGACCCCGCTTCTATGTGACAAATACTGCAACACTACTATCATGTCACCCATAGTCCTTTTTCCTCCTAGACTAGCCACATCCAATTCTTTTATATGCTTCATATGCTAAGATAAAAGTGGCCTCGGTTTTATTCATGATCCGAGATGCTGGCAAATAGCAATAGCATTTAGACTTTTATACCACTTCAGAGTGTTTTACAGCCCTCTCTAAGCAGTTTTACAGAGTCAGCCTATTGCCCCCAGCAATCTGGCTCCTCATTTTACCCACCTCAGAAGGACGTAAGGGCTGAGTCAATCTTGAGCCTGGTGAGATTCGAACTGCCAAATCAGCAGTCGGCAGAAGTAGCCTGCACTCTAACCACTGCACCACCATGGCTCAAAACTAACCAATTTCATTATCAACTTCTTCTGTTTGACCACAATCCCTGGTTTGCCAGGCAGCCCGACAATGCTATAACTCCACCTCCAACCGGCAGTGGCTGAGTATCTCCAGTATTCAGCAAAGGAGGCCGTGATTATGTGGTTTGAAGACAGGGTGGTAGGAACTCAATTGCCTTCAGATTCACCAGAGCTCTCCTTGTTCTGAAGGTAGAGAAGGTTTCTTGATGACTTCGGGGCACTTTCCTCACATTTGCAATTTGAACATTCAAAAAAAGACCTATGTGTACACCTGGAAACCACAAAGCCACAGAAATGAAAACTATCTTGGAAGATGAGTCAGACACCTGGAATTTGCTGAATTCCCTGTCAGGCATGGAGGGGTCGGCCAAGAAAGTGATAGAGCAGCATTTCTCAACCAGGACTAGTTTCCCAGGTGTGGACTTCAACTCCCAGAATTCCCCAGCCAGCCTTGCTGACTGGAGAATTCTAGGAGTTGAAGTCCACACCTCAGAAACCAGTCCAGGTTAAGAAACACTGTGGTTTGGAATGAATGCCCTTTCAATCAAAACATTTCCTAGATAAGGAAATAGTGACTGCAAAGAATATCCTGCTCATTTAGTTTAAGGTATCCTCATCTATTACTATAATTAATGAGCAAAAAGAAACGGCCACATTCTGTAGAAGAAAAAGAAACATTTGCAGATAAACTTTAGACAATTCTATAAAAACAGGAAGTTTTCCATACATAAAAAGAAGTATTATGAGCATAACATTCCTCAATACTAGTTCATATTTGTTAAATAAAATCCTCATTTTGAAAATGATGAAATAAATATTATGTTTTCTTTGACCCGAAACAAATTCCTCTAACTGTCATATACTGCAACAGGAAGAACTGAAAAGTCAAGATCAAAAGAAAGGGAGTTGGCTGCTATAAAACAAAATAATAAAACAAAATAAAATATAAAATAAATAAACCCCCGCACTGAATTAATTGGAGATAAGAGATACTGGCAATCTAATTTATACCATGATTCAAGTTCAGCTGAGATATATTTTAGGAAAACATGTTTCATCTAAGAAACACAAATTTTTATCAACTGTATCATTTGTCTAACATGGATGGAAGAAAAACTATGGGTCAGTTTTACAATTTGATGAATAATTTAGAATCACCAAAATACATCCTAGCGAATGAAGTGACAACAAAATCGTACTGGCATTTGCATAGAGCTTTAACTTAGATTTAGAAAACATTTATTGCACAAATCAAAGAATTGTATTATTTTAAAAAAGTTTGTGATAAAATTTAGTGGTGTTTAGTAGTGACTGTTCAACATTACAATGGCACTGAAAAAAATGACTTTCACACTGATGACTATTGCAGCATCCCCATGGTCCCATGATCAAAATTCAGCTGCTTGCCAACTGACTCGCATTTATGACTTTTGCAGTGTCCTGGGGTCATGTGATCACTTTTTGTGACCTTCTGACAAGCAAAGCCAATGGGGTAGCCAGATTCACTTAACAACCATGTTACTAATTTAACAACTGCAGGGACTCAACTGTGGCAAGAAAGGTCGTCAAATGGAACAAACTTCACTGAACAAATGTCTCGCTTAGCAGCAGGAATTTTGGGCTTGATCGTGGTTGTAATTTGTAATTTTCTTAAATACCTGTACAGTATTTAAGAATGCTGAGAGCTAATTTGGCGTAGTGATTAAAGGTAGACTAATAACCAGGAGATGGTGCATTCTAGTCCTTCCTGAGACCCAAAATCATCCAGGTGACCTTGGGCCAGTCCTCTCGCTCAGCCCTAGGAAGAACAGGCAAGGCAAAACCACTCTAAAAAGTCCTGCCAACAAAACTGCAGGGACTTGCCCAGGCAGTCACCGGGAGTCAAGTCTGATCAAAGGCATTCCTGCCCACCCCCCCACCCCCAAAATAAGAATGTTATGTGAATGTTCGCGTGTACACAAGGTTAGCAAATATACGTACAGTTGAAATAGCATTGTTCGGTGCTGAGCTTATTGTAAGATTTATACTGGTAGGTATAAATTCAACGTTGATTAATGTTGTGTCCTTCTAGATGTCAGCTTGAGAATCAAAATTGTCAACAAGAAGGTCTCAGTTTCAGATCTGCTTGGAAATGCAACATGGATGGGTAACTTCTCTATGCAGAACAGGCATTTTGTTAGTCTGCCCTATTTGGTTATAGTTTATTTTTTTAACAAAAATAGAACTGCGTACTTTATTAAAGAGGATCCTATCCGTTCCTGAATTCATGCAGCCTTTTCCCCCCTCTGATTATCCTCTCTTTGCTGTTTCTTTTTAAGGAAAAAGCTTTACGCTAACCATCACAGTCTTCACCAACCCTACTCAGGTCGCTACATACCACCGGGCTATTAAAGTGACCGTCGATGGTCCCCGGGAACCGAGAAGTAAGTGAACTCTTATTTTCAGAAAGGAAATTGGTACCTATTCTCATGTTCTCTCTCTGCATCCATCCTCTTGGTGGCCAAATTGGATTAACTAGATGTCACTGACAAATGTTGAAACGTGCTTCTTGTTGTGGATATTTCGGAGACCACCATCACCATCGTCTCCAATGGAGGGTTCTGCTGGGGGAGGAAATGTAACCAGGATGGCCAGTGGGAACCACTGAAAGAAGAGCTTGTCTTGATTTGGTTGGGATGCAGCAGAACGTAGGTTGGGAGAGGAGAAGAAGTACAGGTAGTCCTGGACTTACGACCACAACTAAGGTCAGAATTTTCATTGCTAAGCAAGCTGGTTGTTCAATGAGTCGTGCCTGATTTTATACTCTCTTTTTGGCCTGGCTGTCAATCACTGCGTTTGCAAAGTGCATCATGCATTCATTAAGTGAATGTCTTTCCCCGTTAACTCTGTTTTTGGGAAGCCAACTGGGAAAGTCACAAATGGCAATCACATGACCCCAGGATGCTGCAGTTATCATAAATATATGCTGGTTTCCAAGCAACCAAATTTGGATTGCATGATTTGTAGGGATGCTGCAATTGTTATAAGTGTGAGGAAACAGTCTGTGATGACCCAGGATGGGAGACAAAAGCAACAAAGTCACAAAAACAGGTGAAGTCCCTTTAATTCCTTCAGCTTGGCTTTAAAGGTCCAATTATCATTGACTGGAGAAAAAGCTCCCCCACAAACAGTTGCGAAAAAGAAGACCTTCCGTTCAAATTCAAAATACATATAAATTATAAATAGAAAAAAACAACACAAACCACACAGAAGCAATTAATGAGACAAGGCAGGATAAGGGCTTGAAGACATCCACAGATATTGAAATACACACACTGGGAAGGACGCCAGAACTCAGATAAGAACTGACAGACTAGAAATATTTTCACGCTTTGCTTCCAGCACTGGGCCATGCGCAGTTTGCCTTTTTAAACAGTCTTCACAGCTGCAGCCCATGAAGAGGATCAAGGCCGTTTCCTCCCCCGTAGACCACGCCATTCATGTTTCTCCCTTTTCTGCTCCTCCCTGCATGCCCTAGGATGAAGAGGGGATGGGCCTGGGTCTTCCTCTGAATGCCCAGCCAGCCTGTGCCCTTCCCCAGTTTCCTCCACAATGTCCGGAGCCACAGTCCCTCTCCCTGTCAGCTGTTCCTCCTCACCCTTGGAGTCAGATTCTAACAGGGGCATGACACCGTCAGTAACTGTTTTCCGTGCCATTGTAACTTTGAATGGTCCCTAAATGAATGGTTGTAAGTTGAGGACTACCTGTATGATGGCTTATGGTTATGCAGATAGGTAGTTTTAAAACCGGTTTCTCAGGCTGAAGGCTGAAGATGCATGGATTTCTGAATCCCATAATCCAGAGCATCATGTGTGAATATCAGTGCAGAATTGTGAATCTCCCATAAATGATCATGGGAACCCTAAAATGAATTTAGCATGGCTTGAGAGGCAGGTGGGTCCCAAGAAAGCTGCCCCTTATCTAGGGGGAAAAAAACAAGACATTCTGGCCATGACCCCCATCTTGTGTATTACGGTTTCGGAGTTGCCCCAAAACATGACTTGCGTACCTTTTGCAAAAAGGCAACTCACTCTTGACTATTGGAGCTCAACAGAACAACAACAGAATAACAGAGTTGGAAGGGACTTTGGAGGTCTTTTACTCAGGCAGGAAATCCTATCTCATTTCAGACAAATGGCTGTCCAATCTCTTCTTAAAACCCTCCAGTATTGGAGCATTCACAACTTTTGGAGGCAAGTTGTTCCACTGATTCATTGTTCTCACTGTCAGGAAATTTCTCCTGAGTTCTAGTTGCTTCTCTCCTCGATTAGTTTCCATCCAATTGCTTCTTGTCCTGCCCTCGGGTGTTTCGAAGTATAGCTTGACTCTCTCTTAAATACTCTTGGGCCTGTGAAGGTTCACATTTAAATCTTAGTTAACTCCTGTTCGTAATTTTTTAAAAAAAGTCCTTCCATTTTCCTAATCCTCTTCTTCCTAATAAGCACCACTTTGTGAGAGAAGGCTGAAAATGTATTGTTCGGAGGTAGAAAAGATTATTATATTTTTCAAAAGTATGTTTTCAAATGTTCTTTCACTCTCTGTTCACCCAACATGCTTAACTATAGAAGTTGCAAACATTGCAGTTGCAGATAAATCATGGGCTAGAGTGAATCTTGGTTAGTTTTCTTGTGGTTTAAAGAGCTGTGCTAACCCTTTGGTTAAATTTTGATTAAGCGAATTGTTAAGTCTACAAATCGGGCTTTGTAACCAGGCTATGGAGGAATCCTGTAGCACCTTTCCTGACTCACAATGTTATTGAAAAGTATACACTTTCGTAAATCAGATAAATGTTATCAAATGCCTGCTTTTTTTCCATCCTAGACTAACAGAGCTTTCCTGCTACACTGTAAAACCAAGCTGAATGTGTTGTGTGAATACAGCCTCTGTGTTGTGAATACAAGGAAAATTGATTGTTGTGTACCACCCAGAGTTGTTTTTAGTGAGATGGGCAGCTATGCAAATTTGATTTAAATATTAATGAATAAAAAAAGAGGGATAGGGAAAGTCTTCAGTTACCTGTTAAACTTAGTCCAAGCTAAATCTCCAGAACTGCTGAATTCTATTATTTTAGAGAAGGAAAGATGGGATAGCAAAAACTAAATTTATGATCCACCAAGGTGTGTTCAGCATAAGCAGTGTGTTTGGGTCTCTGATTGTATTTAATGCTCAATGCCCTGTTATAAGGAATAAAGTCATCATATTTACCCAATATATATATAACTCTGTTGCTACCTTCCAAAAAGACTGTCAGAACAGCTAACCGGGTTCCTGACACAAATCAGTAGAAAGGTAACAAAAACAATTGCCATGTATCACAAAAACTCTCTAGAAGGAGCACCAACTAAGCATCCAAAGGAAAAACCCAAACTTCAATACGTTTAGTGAAATCATGGAAGCAAAGGTTGTTGAAAAAAATAATATTTTCAGTTACCAGCAACACATACACTCACCCAAAGGGAAATTATTGTCATGAGGCAGAGAGTTCCATGGTCAGAGTTCTGCCACAGAAGAAGGGGTATTGTTTGTGGCCAACAGGGAGATAAGGATCCCAGAGCAAGATGAGCCAAGTTTGCAAACAAGGAAAATTGGCTTTTTCCAGTTCTCACATCTGGCCTCTTCAGAAATCAGGAAGGACTGCAAACATTATTTTTAGCCTACTTTTTTTTACTTTTCAGACCACATTTTCTTTCTTTCTTTCTTTCTTTCTTTCTTTCTTTCTTTCTTTCTTT